TGGTCTTATCACTTTGAATTATGCAAATGCTAGTATATTTATTTCCAGATAACAATATTCTGACATTTATTAAATTACCATGACAGAATTTTTAGCTCACCCGAGCCAAAGCCCAAGTGAGCTTTTTTGATCGAAAATTGTCTGTTTTCTGTCATCGTGGTTACTGTCGTTGTCTTGATCAACTTTTCACATTTTTATCTTCTTCTCAAGAATCATTGGGCCAATTTCAGAGAAACAAAGGGCCACACCGTCTTTCATGGAGAGGTACATGCAAGTCAGAAATAGTGAAAATTTGGTGGCATCTTTTACAAATCTTCTTCTCAAGAACCACTGAGCAAAATATCAAACATATATGTTAATTTCTTTACAGGGTTTATATTCAAGATTGTTCAAAGATTACCAACGGTACTGTTAACAAGGACCTTTAAAATTATCAAGGTGGGTTGATTTGCCTTTGTGGAGTAAGCATCCCTGTCACCCCCGCAGTGTGATCCTTGTCATAATTTGTAGATATTTCAGTGTGTAAATAATGGCTTAACAGTTAGAAGGAAAACATCAGTCAGCATTCGACTTCATGATAGAATGTACTAGTCTTTGCTGTAAATTCATTGTATCAACCGTGTAATGTGCAAAATAATGGCTTCAAAAAACCTTTATATTCTTGTTTGCTTTGCTAGTTCATCAATACCTTGCCTCGATAAAAAAATGCTTGTACGTAGAGCATGCTCTTGCCTATCAAATCAACTAGGAAATACAGACCCCATATGCAGGCAATAAGAGTATTTTCAGGAATGATTGATGAAACTACAAGGCTAAGAGGGCAAAAACGTTGAAACACAACGGAAGGTTTGTTCACATGAAATACACATGTGAAATCCCTATTACCAACTATTCAAGTGTTGTAAACAAGTTTTTTGTAAGACAAACCAACAGCTTAACAGACAAATGTACAGCTAGACGGACAGACCAAATACTATATGCCCCGAAATCTAAATTACGGGGGCTAAAAGTATACCATTTATTAAAAAAAATATGCATAAAGATACTTTAAATATTGGGGGACATGTATACAAAATAACATTTAGTGCCATATACTTATCAGTTATAGATAAACTGGTAAAGTAAACCTCTAGCTTTTCCTTTTACAGGTCAGAATATGCAACAAATGATGAGCTGTCCACTGCGCATGCTCTGTCCGTGTGCGTATCAGTGCTCTAAGAATTCCTACGCAGCAGGGTACTGTTATCCTTTCCGGGCGGTGAAATGTTGTCCTGTCCAAATTGTCTATATATGCTCCATGTTCGGAAGATTCGGGACTGTGGATGTCTAATGTAAGTTGAAAAATGACTGGAAAAGAAAAAGGTTTCTAGTATACGTATATTAATTACCAATATTCTCTACATAATTATCATAAACAAACCAGTTATATCATGCAGTATTATGATGACAAATTATAATATTTTTTATTGCAGGATGGAACATCGTGGAAGCAAATTATTTCTATTTTCTTTTGTTCATGCAATAAAATATGCTTTTATAATTATAATTTTTTTCGTTGTGATTTTTCGAATGTTTTTCCATTGAAGGTAAAAAGGAAAGTCTATCAACTAAAGAGTTATATCTTTCTGTTGATATATTAAGTATCCTTTCAGAAGAACTGCGAAGGATAGCATCTTTATGTCGCATACCTCCAATTTTTAAAAGTTAATATATTTGAATAATGTTCATGAGTGATATCGGACATAAACGGAAAAGGTTTTGCACATTTTGTTTTTTTAATCGGTAAAGATTTATTTATCACAATTTATTTCTTTTATTTCACTTAAATCAATTAGGTTTTGAATATTCCTGAAGAAAGTAATATATAAACGTTTCCTTATACAATTTATTAATGTTTAAGTGTGAATATGAACCTTTAAAAATGGAATTTATTGAGGAAAACAAAGATAGACAACTCTACTATTCTCCATGGAAATTATTGACAAACGTAGAGCAAACATGGACGTCTGAAACATTAGATGTTGGAATCCAATGCAAATGAAGGAGAAAGCATCCCCTGCCGACCGGTACACCCACCGTATTCACCTTGTCATGATTGGGAAATAATGGAAAAATCCATCGGCAATTCAATGGTCTTACAATTAATATAAAAACGTCAGCATTTGACTTATTGCTAGATTGTATTTGCTGCATGACAAGGTCATGTATTGAACATAAAAATTACATGATGATCTTAAAATGAAACTGCATCATATTTTTTTGTCAATGACTTTCCTCGTTTCAAAAAATGTTCATACTAAGAACAGACTTTTGCGTATCAAATCCAACTGAGATATATAAACCCCTGTATGCAGGTGATAACGGTATTGCTGCCTAAGTAAGAGAAGCTTTGTTGTTAGATTTCATTGACGTATTTTTCCAGCAAAATATTCAGATATGAAAGAGATGTGACAAACTTTCGATAAAAAAGCTGGTCATCCCTTTTATCATACAGTTAATTTAATATTAGGTCATTATTAAACCCCCGCTTGAAAAGCGGGAGGGTATACACGTATAGTGATTGGGATGTCCGTCTGTTACTCTTTAGGGGAACCCATCTCTTACCCGCAACTCCTCTTATATCACCTAATGAAAATTAATGTGACTTGTACAGATTCTTTGTTACGACGTGCCATTGTGCACCTCCCATTTTACTTTTTTATCGAAAACATATTTTAGGTGTCCCGTAGCAAGGCACCGACACTGCCATTTTTTCTATAATATCGAAGGGTACGCATTTCTTATTCACAACTCCTCCTTGACCACTGAATAAAATTTAATGATACTTTCACAAATTCTATATTACAAAATGCCATTATGCACATTCTATTCTGATTTTTAATCTGGCATTTGATTCAGTTCTCCCAGGGTAATAACTGAACTATGCCATACTAATCATAACTTTTATCTGACACTTATTTTGTGTCTCCCAGAGCAAAACATGGATTTTGCCATTATAATGGTATGGGAGGCGGGGTATCATTAAGTGAGCTCAGTGTTCACAGTACCTCTAGTTGCTAATAGTAATACAACATCCAAATATAAAACAGATGTATTCCTCAGATGGCTAAATGTCAACAATTTTAAATCAGCAACAATCATTTACTCAGTTTATACCGGGCCATTTCTATTCAAGAAGTGGTGTGAATCAGATGTGGATACTAAAAAATTCTAAAGAACTCTTGGACAATTTGAAATCGCAAGACTTTACAAAAATCACCAGCTTAAAAACTTACGACTTTTCAACTTTATATACAACAATTCCCCACGTTAAAATCCAGGCTTTTTGATATCATTGACAGCTGCTTCTTCAATAAAAATGGAACTCGTAAATTTACTTTCGTCATGTTCATTTGCAAAATTATTTTGTTAAAACAGATTCTTATTGCACACATAAGTACTCTGAAGTTGACATCAAGAGGATGCTTGAGTTTCTGATTGACAATATGTGGTTTTTGGAGACCAGGTATTCCAACAATCTATTGGAATTCCCATGGGTACAAATTGCGCTCCGTTATTAGCAGACTTATTTTTATATTCATATGAAGCAGAATTTATGCAAACTCTTATGCGTGAAAAGAAGAAAACACTTGGTGTGGCCTTCAACTCGACATTTAGATATATCGACGACGTATTGTCAATCAACATGGTAATTTCCATTCCTACGCAAAACACGATATATCCTGGTCTTTTCTAAAAGATACCACAGAGTCTGACACTTCTGTTTCATACTTGGATATTTTACTTGAAAAAGACGCTAATGGTATAATATATGATAAACGTGATGACTTTAACTTTTCTATCGTCAACTTCCTATATTACAAATATACCTTCATCACCTGCATACGGAGTATATATATCTCAGTTTTTCGATACGCACGACATGCTCAAGTATGAACAATTTCTGAAACGAGGTAAATTATTGACAAGCAAGTTGATGAAACAAAACATGGATTTTGTCATTATAATCGTAAGTTCTATGGTCGATACAATGACCTTGTCAGCAAATACAATTTATCATAGAGTCAAATGCTATAGATATATCCAATTGTTATATATTTATACAATGAATTGACGTCAGATTTTTTCCGTATTTCCTGATCATGATGCACACGCGTTGTCATCCTTCTGACCTCAAAAACAATTTTAAATCAGCAACAATCATTTACATAGTGGGACAATTTTATTGATGAAGAAGTATCTATAATAATATAAATTCAGATATTATTTCAAAGACAATTTTGGTAAAAAAAAATTAAAAGGTTCAGTTTGAAATGTCTCAAAGACATACAAGTATTTGTATCTAAGGATAGTTAGACCACGAATACCTAGGCAATGTGATACTTTCTTCATTACTTTTCTAACAATGCTCTTCTGTAGATTGTTTCATCTACAACATACAAAGGATCACTGTCCTTAAAGGACTCATGATGTTCTTCTCATTTTGGTCATGAGTTACAGGGCCTCGAGGATCATTGTGACATCACCACATCACAAATAAAAACATAAATCTTGTCGGGATTTGTTTTTAAAAACAGAAACGTAGTTCACTGACATTACTTCAATCGCCAGCTTGTAAACTAAATATAAAATGTTCGTGTTACTTGACCTTTGTCTTTTTATAGAGAATAGATGATTCTCATTCTTTATGAAAGATCAAATCTCATTTCAAAGTTACATATTTATCTATATCCCAAAACGTCGCATTTAAAATGACGTTTGTCATATTTAAAGATTCCCAGTTTCTGAGTTTTCCTTATGGCCAAATTAAAAGGATATCCTTCAGGTTATTTGAGTTTTAAGACAGTATGATATGTTCCTATAATTAGCAATATCGTGACCCTCTCTCGGCGCACAAGTTGATGTTGTCATAAGAAATCAAGTCTCATTAATTGAAATTTGTGACTTCAAGCTAAAACATATAAAAAAGAAAGCAAACTGTTTCAGTGTACATAGTTAGGTATATTTTAAACTCGTAGAGATGCACCATACCTTAATTGTAGTTTTAGCATTATGTTGCCTGGGGATTTCTATTGCCCAATTGCCAACAGGAGGTATTTCAATTTATAAGATATTTCTAAAGTTTCATTTCCCTTTTTAAAAAATCATTTATGTTTTTTTTTCTTTTTAACATAAGAAAAAAATCAAAATAAATTTCTTAAGATTAAAATATGACATTTTATTTAAAATTTCAGTTTCATAAAGTTGTTAAGGTATATTATTAAATATTATTGTATATCTTTTCCTATTTTTAAGTACAACGTACTTGATAATATTTTTGTTTCAAAATGATATATAATTACTTTTTAAAAATTAAATTAAACGCAGCAGTATTATACTTGGATTATTTAGCTTATGATTAATTTGTTTTATTTTGATAAATAATTTTTGTAATTAGATATACCGGTAAGTATTTTATTATTCTATTTCGAAAATATTTTGAAAGTAATTGATTTTTAATAACTAAACTATAATAAAAATCAATAGCGAAAAGACACAATCCTGCAATAAAAATTAAAATTTTGAACAATAAATATAACCAATTGAAAGAAGCCAGGAAAACAATTTAAAAAAACACTTTACTTTTTAAAATATTAATAATTTTAAAAAATCATTTCAGGATCGATGCGTTCAAGTGCAATGATGGCGGAATTGATGAATCCCAGTACAATGAACGCAATCTGTGGGAAGCTCGGGAAGTTAATCATGTGTCAATGTACAACTATTGCCGATGGATGTGAGGAGGGTCATATTCCTATGGGAATATGTCCTATGCTCCCTATGTTACCCATGCTTCCCAAAATCCAATGTTGTCCGCCCATGTATGCCATGATCTGCTCAAAACATCAACAAAGATCAAGTTCTAACCATACGCATGCTGGAAATTCTCTTTCTTCACCTGGAACTCCAAATCAGTCACAGAGCGAAAATCCCATCTCCTCACCGGGAACTCCAATTCATGCAAAAGGTGGAAATTCCTTTTCTTTCGCGGGATCCCTTCGGGAGAAACAAGGCGGAAATTCCCTTCGATTAGCGGGGACAAAACAACCCTCAACTTTATAAAAAATGAACAACAGTAAGTTACTACAAGGTTCTCCAAGACTATTTAAAAAGGATCCATTGGGAGACGGAAACATTGGAAGAGACAGTTCACTGAAATTCGTGAATTCTAAACATATCTCCTAAGCGTTCTTTCGTTGACTTTGCCAAAACAGGTTACTGCAGAAAGGGAAAAGTTATTCTGATAAACGTTTAACATCTATGTATAATGTCATTGCTGTGATGTCTATGTTTATATACATCATGTTTGTTAATTTTGAAAAAAAAAAAAAAATAGATTGTACAAGTATCATATGATAAAGCTCCGTCCTGGATAAACTTATTAAAGATCAATTATTAATGAAATAATGAATATTATAACTTAACCATTTTATCACAAGTAATTTTGTTGTGCAGGTGTAAATAAACATACTCGAAACTGGTGATTTTATAATCTTTTTTTTCAAACAAAATACCAAAGATATAGCATATTTTTCCTCATCGTACTACATAAATTGTTGGTGAATTTTTCTATTTTCATTGTATTTTATATATCTATCAAAACCTGATATTTAAAAAAAAATGAAATCAATGTTTTTAAGTGGAAAATGTTGTTAATGAATATAACCAACTTTTTTGTTGTCTTACATACTAGTAATTTTTTTATTCGTTTAAAATAAGTAATTTTATTTCAATAATTTTATTAAATTTCCAACAAAAAAAAACATATTTAAGGTTTATTTACATTTAAAATAATACATGCAGAAAACAACACAAAATAACAACATTATACAGTACCGGAACACTAGCTTGTTTGACATTTTCCACAAAAAGATAATAATAATGTTACAGCAGGGATGAGTTTGTATAATGTTAGCACTTCCATTATATAATCTATCATAGAATAAATACTATTTAATCTAGAAATCAAAACTTAGGTTCCAGGTACCCAAAAATTGATTGATTGAATGCATGTTGTTTTACATCCTATTCGAGAATTTTTCACTGATTTCGAGACGTCACCATATACTTGCAAAGGACTTCAAATTTTGACCTTTATTTGGCACTCAGGGACATTGAGAAATGCGAGTTCTTAATTCTGCCAACGCCTGCCTGACAACCCCAGTTTTAAGGTCTCATCCGAAGGGCCCGCAACTTTCACTTCAAAGTGCCGAGCGCATTGCGAAGGATTGATTGATTGATTGATTGTATACTGTTTAACGTCCCTCTCCAGAATATTTCACTGATATGGAGACGTCACCATTGCCGGTGAAGGGCTGCGAATTTAGGCCTATGCTCGGCACTCAGGGCCATTGAGCAGGGAGGGATCTTTATCGTGCCACACCTGCTGTGACACGGGGCCTCGGTTTATACGGTCTCATCCGAAGGACCGCCCCCATTCAGTCGCCTTTTACGACAAGCAAGGGGTACTGAGGACCTATTCTAACCCGGATCCCCACGGGTTGCATTGCGAAGGAACAGTTGCTACCCATTTTTATAGACTTAGGTCAGTCGCAGCTGAGAATCGAAACACGACCATCCAATTACGGGGCTTCAATTTTGATTAATATATCATTTAATAATACATGTATTTTCTAATGCTTTGATAAGCCCTTATAATTTTCCACAAATATCAAAACGGCTTTACTAAAGTAAAAAATACGTACCAAAGTCCATCTTTTTAGTTTTCAGGGAGTATTTAACAGTGCAAACAAGCAATACCACATATAGGATCCACAATGTTTTGTAATTAAAGGTCTTTGTTTGATTTTTCTTCTGGCGAGTTTTGTTGTTTGTATCCTAGAGGTTAATTTTTGTTGAAAAAAAGGATATTTTTGCTGTGCTTCTAAAAAGATTACTTTCCAAGTAATGAATATTTACTCAAGGAATCACTGTCTAGTTAGGAGACTATGCCAGGGCATCAACAAAAGTGGGAAACATGGGATAATTAGCATAACGGACAAAACCCGTTATGCTAAAATTATCCTATGTTTCGCACTATTGTTGATGTCCCTGGTATAGTCTCCTAACTAGAAAGTGATTCCTTATATATTTCCATTTTTACTTGAAATAACAATCTTAAAATAAATCGAAATACCTTCTAATTTAGAAAATTTGAAATGCACGACGCAGATCATGTTATTTTCCATTGCCGCGCCCCACGACGTCATTTTACTATAAAAAAATAGACCCATAAAAACACGAAACAAATTTAATGATTATTTAGTTACTGAAGTCAAATATCAACATTTATAAAATAAATAACAAAAGAATTTTATATTATGATCAAAGCAATCTTGTTAACTTTAATTATAAACGCGATGCAATGTTGCAGTTGATAAAACGGGAGTTGGTCAGCATGGTCAGGAAATAGAATTGTGTGGATGTTAAAATAACAGAGGAAGTTGAATTGCTTTAGAAGTCGGATGGTAATGACTGAGGGACAATGTCTGTATCAGATGATCGAGTGCAGATATATGTGGCAATGCCGATTTCTCCACGTTGTTCGAAGTTCTCGGTCTCGCGAGGCCTCGGTGATAGTGGACAGTGTTGCGCTAGTGACTTGCTTTTGATCCGAAGATAATTCATTATTATTTTTGTTTGTAAGAAGATATATCATATCTAATTACTTAGTAAACAATTAAACAAAACATCTTTTCTTTCTTCAGTGTATTTATACACCACTCATACGAGGGCTATTCAATAAATAATGTCCTCGGTGCTCAGAAAGAAGTAAAAGACGCTTTTCAATTATTTATTCTTCATGATTTAATTAATTAATCTCTTTTAAGTAAAATACATGTCTGTAACATATTTCATCCAATTTCTGATCGTTTGTATAACTCATATTTGGGTATGTCCCTCAGTATACTGGAAAATGGTAGATCCAATGATTTCCCGGACTTGTTTCTTCCTTCTAAAAGGTATTTTTTCCAAGTTTGGAAATTGAAACAAGTCAAGAGGTCAAAGATCTTGCAAATATTGTTAATGTGAAAAAACATTAACTCTCTGTTTATCCCTAAAACCCTTTTACTCTTCAGGGCATGCGGGTTTGGACGCCGTCTTGAAGAAATTCAATGTAGAGGATTCCTGATTCTGGGTCCTTCCTCTAATAAACTTTTTGATTTTTTTGGCCAAAAAAGTGCTCTCTAGACTCCTCCAGTAATTAAACTGTCTCTCAAAATACGATTTTGAACAACATAACCACTAATGTTTAAGAAAATTACATATAAATCTGTCTTTGTGCTCTTGCATATATGTGGACTTTTCAGACACTCGCCGTTTTTATCAAGTACATCTTAATGGTAAATTTTGTTTTTAGGGTTTTAAGCTATAGATTCATGTTCCAATATCTGTTTAAAATTAAAACAAACGTGGATAACTACAATTACAGATATTTTAAAATAATTGTGAAGAATTTCGTACACACTGTCATTTTCACTCATTTTTCAAAGTATAGGGTGACCTTTGAGTATCAAGCTTTTTTTCCGCCCAACGTTTCTTAAATACAGTGTAAACTACCCCCGATGTGATGTCTATCAAATTTGCTATGTGTCTTGAAGTCAATCATACAAAATTCAATATTATTTGTTGAAATTTGGCGAACAGTACATGAGTTGTTATCATTTTTGTTGGCAAGGTGGGTACCCATTTTTTGATGCCCATTTTAAAATTTTTGATCATTGAAATCCACCTGCTCTTTTGTGTATAAAACAGGCATTGATTTCTCTGAATATCACATATTTCAGTTAATATTTCTTTGGGATTTTTAACAAGTTTTACGGCAGCTTTAATGAAGCTTTTATTTTCACTCTTGTTTACTGATTCTTTACCATTCATTTATAATGCAGTGTCTCGAAAAGCCCTTGTTTCCCAGCTTCTCATGATGAAACTATGTGATTAAAAGTGGTCACATAAACTGTTATAAATTCACGAAAGATTCAATAATGAGAGAAAGTCAAGTTTAATGTCATACGATATCTGTAATGTATGTCATATAGTTCAGGACATTATTTATTGAACAGCCCTCGTATGCATGTAAGTTTGACATTTGACCTTTCAGTAGTATTTCAATAGAGAAATTTACATGCCACAGGAATCACGGAGAAATTAAAAAGACTGACTTTTGTAGTGTTTATCATATGGAAAACAATTGGAAATGGGAATATTAAGGTATATTATTATCGACAATGTATTTCTGTAAAATATTATTCAAATAAATCATATACAAATTTATGTGCTTCCGGAAATGGCGAAACTTGCAAGTGTTGAAATTATTTGTCTTTCTAAATAGCAAGCACGGATGACTGAAGGCAAAATGATATCTTTTGATACTGTTGCACAATTTTCTACATAAGGAAGTAAAAATGCGCTCCTTTTTTTCAAAGTATGTGACCAACATCGAAAAAAATATGTAGCAAAAGTTCCTTCACAAAGCGCCGTTTTACGGTAGGTTTACATTGGCATTAAAAAGAACCCTCACCGCTAAGTAGCCCTGAGTGCAAAGTAAAGGTCTCAATTTGAAGCTCTTCACCGATATTTTGTGACGTCACTACGTATATGAGTGAAAAATTCTCAATTTTCGTTTTTTACAACGACATTCAATCCATCATTCAAACGAATAATATTTTGAGAAAATACATATTTTTGTTTATCAAAAACATGAAAAAAGGACCTACTCTACCTTAAAGTAACGTAAATGAAAAAAAAAACTACCGAGTTATTCAAGGCCCATATCACAAATAATAAACCTGTTATGGTTAACGTCTTTCAAAAAAAAAAAAAATAGTAAAATAGAAATTATTGCAAATAATTTCATTTATGTGACATGTTCTTGTTTTATTATGTTATTATATAACAGTGTCGGTATTGTACATAGCTTTATACTAAGCAGCTATTCGGTTCTTTTTATTGAACAAATTTTACCCCTTTTCCTACATCTAAATATGGGTTCAACCAATCAGCAAAGCTCTTATCCATCACGTGATCATTATTGATCCGTTTACCAAAAGAGAAGGCCTATGTGATGTTGGTAAAATATTGCCATTATATGGGTACACAAATCTTATTATGTATGATTCAAATTTTCAATTGTTGAATCAAGACATAGTGTACGTGGGACCACATACACATTTATCACATAAACTGTGCAGTTCATAGGCACAGCTTGTATATATGTAGAATGATTAACATAATTTAATGCTGATATAGTATTGTTGTTAAGGGTGCACACCATAGTTTGAGGTGACCTTTTACTGAGAATTAGTGTAGAAGTGAGGTCCACATACACTACTTATGTTTACCATGCAAACCCACCACTGATTTACACGTTATGTTGTATTTTATGATTGTGAAGGACCATATTCACATTTATTTCACTGACACATGCACATTTATTTGGTTG